TACATAATTTGTGACAGTTTTCCTAATAAAAATTCTATTCATTTAACGAGTTGTCACGCAAGTTTGCTACCAAGTCTTCAAATTAAATTAATATAATATCTAAATTTCAAAAACAAATAAATCTAAATTCTTTTCTTTCTTAATATATTAGAACAACACCACGATAGATTTTCATCCCTGAAAAGACTTAATAACTTTACAATTTAGATTTTAAAATCAGATAGCACAATAAATGAATCGATCGAGTTATATTTTTTTATAACCAACTTTTCAATTTACAAGTATTAATCGATTCAATAAAACATCAGATGATCGAATGCATCGATTCATGTAAGTTTCTTGTTAGTCATCCCAACCTCTGCAGGAACATCATCCTCGCACACAAAATGTATAAAACCTTGAAGCGTATCTCGGCAACGGTGAACGATGTGATAACGTGACAAACTAGAAGAAAGATCGTAAACCCACGAAAGAAAATGTCACCCGTCACTAGAGATTACTTTTATGCTGACAATTATTACGATTACGCCGTTCAGCCTCGTTCTTTCAACAACTCCGCTCTTCCAGCGGCGCACTTTCACTGGAGCTCGCTGACTCGTATCGTTCTGACGATCCTGTTACGCGTCGGTTTCGTCCTTATACAGATCGGCAGTGTGCCGGTTAACAATGTTAATCTGATACTCCTTCAAAATGTGGTTGATCTATGTTGCGTCACCGTTATGTACTTCCTAACGGGTTTTCTCGTCGCCTACAACGGCGATATAGCCGGTTTAATCGGCGCAGGCCACTGGATCGGTGATCCATCGATCGACAAGAACGAAGCGATTATAGGCTGGCAGGCGATAGTGATTGCCTCGGCGATTTACACCACCGCCGTCATAGGCAGGATGCATGCTGCGGGGTATCTGCTGGTCAATATTCTCATATCAGGTCTGATACAACCGTTAATCATCCACTGGGCCTGGACTGCGGAGGGATGGATGGCAAAGAACGAATTAGGCGGAAGAACGGTCGCTTTCAAGGATTACGCGGGCGCGGGGGTGGTTCACGTCGTCGGAGGACTTTCCGGTTTGATTGGATGCATCGTCCTTGGCAGAAGAATGCTTAGATTGAAAGACCTGGACGATGCGAGTATCACTGCTGGCTCCGCTGGAACTGTTTTCGGGGGTCTGCTATTAGTCTTCACAGGGCTTCAAGTAATATCTTTCGACATAATCTTTAAACTATGACCACGATAACATTAAAATACTTAGTCTTTTTAATATAAAACTTATTATTTTAATATTCTTCTTTATATCAAAGATTATGAGAATCAATCAATGTAATTAAAAAGTCGCAGAAAAATATTAGTAAAAATCCAAAAAGATATATGTATTTCAAGGCATTCTCGTGATTTTTAGAAATTTAAAGTTTCTTACAATAATTTCTAAATACCCTTGAATTCCATAGATAAGAACTTGTAATTAATTGATCAATGACATATAAAATTGCGGGCATTTGCAGGGTTTATTCATGAATATGTACGATCATGACAAGTTCCGAATGTTTACCTGGGATCCGTCGCACGCGTACGTCAACAATTTGCTGGCCGCCTCCTCTTGTACATTGTTAGTCGTGGCTCTGCACTTCACATTCAGCCGAGAAACCTTCAATCATTGGACAATAATGAGATGCGTTCAGGGTACAATTGCCGGTGTGGTGATAGTGTCAGCTGCGGCGAACGAATATTCGCCGCAAACAGCTATCATCCTCGGTTGCCTGGGAGGTATCGTGTTTTATTTGGTCTCCAGACAGATTTTTCGCAGCGCTCTAGAGGATTATTGCAACGTTATAGCTATACACCTTGTTTGCGCAATTCTCGGGAGTATTCTCGCCCCTATCTGCGGCGCACGTACTGATGAAGACACCGTGACAATATTATTGAATTTCTCTTGGCAATTAATTTGTCTGGTTGCATTGCTGTCACTAGTCGGTATAACAATGCTGCTGATCTTCAGAATGCTGGAATGTTGCAATGTACTTCGCAACAAATCGGAGTATCTGAATCATTTACGAGCCAATGCTGCCGTCGACAAAGGTCCACCAAGATCGTTTCTGCAGAGACTTTTCTTTCCCGATACTCGTTGCTTTTATCTACAACCAGGATCGACTTCTAGTACAGAACATCATTCAAAAATTGGTCCCAGATTTTGGGAATATCAAACGGAAATAGATAAACTTGAAGAAAGACCTACTGCTACGAATAAATTGGACACGAGTGTCAAAATTGAAGACAATCTTAGAATTCAAGCGCCAGGTTTATAAATTTCATAAATTATAAAACTATCAATATTGTAGTTTTAATGCGTTTATTTTTTTTAATATAAAAAAATAGTATATCTTGTTCACAATATTCACAACAATTTTTATAATCAACATAAGTGATTAAAAAATTAAATAAAATATCTATTTTCATGCATTTTAGCTTTAATATAGAAAGAAGTAATTATTTACGATTTCAGTAATAAAAATAATACATTTATAGGAGAAAGAATAAAAAAAGCGAGGCAAGTGCATACTTTATCCGCAAGTACACCTGTGTTGATAGAGGACCAAGGTGGTACTGGTGAATCAATAAATAACGATCTTTCGGAAACTGGAAGAAAACAATTTTTTGGAAGAGGAATAAAATGTATTCTAGATCCAATCGAAGAAATAGACGAAGAGGTTGCAAAAGAATTTGAAGTCAAGGAAAGTAATGCTCATAATATTGAAAATTATAATATTGTCGAAGACAAAGATTCAATCCTTATGGAAACTTTTAACATGTCTGCGGAACTGAAAAACTTGAATGAGTCGAATTATCAACTTCGGAGAACTGTAAAACTAACAAATTTACATCACGAATTTATCAAGGAAGATTTGAAAACTATATTGGGACCAAAACGCATGGATTCTTCATCCAGTGATTCGTGTGATGAAGACATTATTTTTATGAAGACATTAGGCTTGAACGAATCTCTGAAAAATATTGCAACTAATGATTCTGTTACAGAAACTATCCCCCATGCTTCCTGCTGCCGCACGGAAATTTGACTCAAGCACGCGAAAGGTATTTCCATGCTATGTCAAAATTGTCAAAGGACTAAGCAAAGAAGTTTAATCCTTTCCTTAGAATTGGATCAATTAAGAGCATAGCGTGGCTTTAAAGGGAGAACCTTCGAGAATGCTATTCTTGCTTCGTAGAATGCTATTGCGTGGGTGTCATTCGAAAATTGTTCTAGTTCCAGCATATTAATACACATGGTAACAAGTGTATCTGAAAAGAATCAAGAAAGTTTAGTGTATCGTATAACTGTAAATAAAATGTGACATTAAAATTAAGAAAGACATAATTCAAAGTGTGTGTACTAGAAAAAATGTATTATATATTGCACAACATCACTTGAATGTTTCGTCGTTACAAAATGGTCCAATCTAGGATTTTCAGTGCTTTTTTTTTTTATTAGAACTTACAGACTATTCATACAGTTATTACAGTATTTTACAATAGAATAGTTATAAGTTAAATAATTGAAATTCCTATTAAAGTGTCATACACACATTCTACGCGCGGTTTCGTTTATTCGCACAACGATGGCATCTTTTTTTCCAGCGTGACAGTCTATATTGAAACAGAATATATTTACATAATGCTTGCCATTTCTATGCGAAATACACCTGCGAAATTTAATAGCAGTTAGCAGTACGTCAAAACTGATCGATGACAATATATAATTGCGAAATTCCAAACGTTAATTTATTTGAATAATTTATTTATGAGACACGAAAAATAAATATGTCAGCACTCGATATGTTTCTAATTCAAGTACACTTCTAAATTATATACATATTAGTGTATATAATTTTTTTTAATATATTACCTACCATAAATTACATTATTTTAACGACATTTATTATATCAATAAATATATAATTATTCTAACAAATTTTAAAAGATATAAGAAATTTTAATTGGAGAATAAATATAAAAATAGAAAAATACAATTAAAAGAATTAGATCAGTGATAAGGTAATGCTAGCTGTTGATCCTGTTTACATTTCCACGCGATTCTAAAAAATTTCGCAGATAATAAATTTATTACCTATCTCTCTGTCCGTTGTCAGGTTATTGTCAGGTAGTAGCAAGCCGGACATTCGTTGCTACCGCCATGCTGAACGAAATTAAGGATACTGACTCTAAAAATCGTCGCAATTGGTACGTTGTAATCATAATTATATATACAACACTGGTAAAATGGCACGATTTGATGAAAACAGATCAATCAATTGATATTATCATTATCGTTAGCAACTACCATTATAATACTAACAATAAACTTTGTACATGATTTATTAAACATTACATGGCATATTAATAACGGCAGTATAAAAATGAAAACAAATCTTACAAACGTAACAAAATATTCTAGATATAACATGATTCGTGAATAAATCTTATTACAATGAAATCATATATATAAATCGTAAATGCACAATGTGAAATAACTGGCATAATGATATTGAACTAATATACAAATAAAAATGTTCTTTCCGTCCTGACTTTGGATTGCTCGTCTTGGATTAAAGTCTTTTTCCTATTTTAGTGTATAGACCATACAAATATTAGTACGTTTCTTTTTCTTTGTATAAAAGATGCAGCAAGCGAATATCATATGTATATAATTGTGCTATGGATTTAAAATCCCACAAACTCATTACAATATAGATAGTCACACAGATATAATTATTAAGAATATTTGTACATATAGTTCACATTGGAGTTCGCATGATATATGGGCATGACAAATAAATAAAAAAAATATATGTATACGATAATCAGATCTTATTATCGCTTTTCTGACCAGCAAAATCTCGTTGGGTTGGTTTGATGCATGTTCTTTTGAGGTACAATAAGGTAGATATTATATAAATATCACTCCAAAACGAGCAGTGGATACACATATGTACACTCTGTACATATTTAAGATAAAAAATAAACCGAAAAATAATAAAAAATTGTGTGATATTTGCACTTACCCGCTTAAAAATCAGCTCTATCACTATTTCTTACAACATTTATCAAATCCATAATTTATCAATGTACAGCACGTGACAAGTTGTCTCAATTTTTAAATCTTTACACGTATAATTTTATATATAACTCAGCGGGTAATCTGCGTAGCATGCCGAATAACCGTTTATTCATCTAATAATTCTATGAATTTCGATACTGATAATGATGATTATTGCACAAATGGGCATATGTTCGTCATCGTATTCAAGATTTGTTAATCTCGTATACATCTGGTCTACCCATTTTGAGATTTGCTTTGTATTGTACACCTATATTAACATCAAAATAATGCGTTACATCAATGTACAAACGGACGCGATCACACACCTTTTATTGGCCTTTCCACCGCCAGTACCAAGAATAGTATTGTCAAAATATACATAGACTCCTCGTCACACACATCGCCATCATCATCAATCTTAAATATGTTTTATGCAACGGGTATTAATATACACTGTATCTCCGAAAGTTGATGAGCTTAAAACAAAATAATTCGAGCCAAAAATTGTAATATTTAATTTATCTTAAAACAAAAGCTCAAAGCCCTAAAATCTCAAATTTGCATGGACGATCCCGGCAATTAGTGCAAGAAGAACAATCAATGAATCACTGGTCCAAAAATTTACCAGTACGATTCATCGATGATCTTTACGCATAAATAATAAATAGTTTAAAACAATAATTTAGATAAATCCATCATTAAAGAAATTAAATTTCAATTTTTTCAAAATATTATTACATTTGACTAAAGAATACTCTTCAGTATCATTTGTTACAACACGCCTGTGATGTTTAATAGCAAAAATGCATTTACTCTCAACATTAGATATTGTTTTATAAATTTCTACTATCTGGACATTTCTCATTACGTATGAAATAGGATCGTATGTTATTAAATTTATAAAAACAGGGGTCCGTAAAGATATACATTTGTTTTGAATAAATTTCAGTCCAAATGCAAAACATGTGCATTGATCGACTATTCTTTGGCCCAACTTGTGCACCGGTAAATAGGACGAGAGGATTAATCACGTTTGCTGGACAATGGCACCATGAGCGATATGCTCTTAATATCCCTGATCTCTACGACGCGGTAACAATGATAATAATGATAATTATAATACAATAGCAATTAATATTAATAGTAGTAAAACTAAAAGTAATAATAATATAACTTTAATAGCATTACTAGCTTAACAATGATCGACAATTACAACTGTGGCTTCGTGAAGCCGCTTAGTGACTAGCTTTTGCAGGCTCTCCATTTAGATTAGGCCAGTCCGCTGAGATAGGCATGGTCCTCCCTCTGAAGATGCGGAATCCAGTGGAGTTTCAAATGTACAAGTAATTTACAAGTCTTCCGCTAGTAAGCGATGTATCTCGTTGACAGCGGAAGCAAGCAACCGGAAAACACTACTGTTTCACATAATCGGCGTTTGCTAGGTCATCACCGTATCAGTGAGATCTTCCTTCAGCCATTGTGGAATCGTTCTGGACCCAAGCCGCTTTAATAATTTTACTAGAGCCGTATTGTGGGACAAGTAATACCTCTGTAAAAGGTGCCGTGTTTAGAATACGCATGTTATGGTTATTTCATATATATATAATCATCAAATAAAAAAATATATTATAAGAGCTTTTACCTGTAATAATTTGTACGATCTATCTTCCATCGGCGGATATTGGCGACCTTTACTTTTGCCAAGACATTTAGTACGATCCTCGTTAGTTACTTGGCAGAAGAAACCTTTCTTCGGATCGTACCTCAAATGTGAGGAATAATTGAAGGCGGGTGTTATCTTCAGAAATCGTTGCAGCTCGTGCAGCGTTTCAACAGGATTTTGCCGTAACTGTTCGCCATCGATGATGTGTAGTTGTGACGGTAAGTAGAACGACAACCACCTCTCTAAATGCTGAGCGTACTTCCCGGGATTCAGACATCTGCGATCGAGTATAATGCATTTTGTTGAAATTTTCATCAATTAAAATATTTTTTGCTGCGTAATTAAATATTATATTTAATCTATACATTATTAATATAAAAGTCTTCTACAATTTGGAAACATAATATTTGCTCTTTCGCTTCTGATAGTATTACGCATAACGTCTATTATACGTTATTCGATGAATACCGTCTTAAGCAATTGTTCACATCCAATTATGTACCTATTTCTAAGGTCCCGCAGGGGTTTTGGTGCGGAATCGCTCGCTGTGATGACCGCATGGAAGGAGTAATTGTTCGCTACCGGATCTCCGTGTACTCTGGTATGCTGGTACCACGAATAAGCACGTCTGGCTGGAGAAAGCAATATAGTGATCAATTTAGCTCTCGGTAGAAGTGCATGAGCTCTGCGTGGCACTAATTCTCCATCGAAATAAGTAGCGGATTTCTCGAAGAGATATCTTTCATTTTTTGGGGTACTTTCATTTTTTGACGCTGGGAAAAAGCTCATGTACCTGAAAAATCAATGTAAATCAGATATTTTTTCTTCATATTGAAATAATAAATATAGAATTCATATTCATTGTCGAGAGATCACACTTACCAATCGAGACCTTTGTAATAATTTTTTCCGTTGAAAAACTGTATCTCCTCGAAAGTATCGGGACTCGGTAGATTGCTACTTATTGCTGGATGAATGGATAGGAACGTATATAATGCTGTAGTACCGGTTTTTTGAGGTCCAATTACTAGAAATCGCGGTAATTGATCACAAGTTTTATTACGGGACCAGATTTTTTGATGCCTCTGATCGTCACATGGATTCTGTAACAAATAATATTAATAGTAGCTTAGTACAATAGAAGCACAGTCAATTATTACTTATCCAATCTACTTACTCCCCATACTGGATCAGCCTCTTCGGGATATAATTGGAAGTAACGTTCTCCAAGCACAAGAGGTGGTGCACTGGACAGCCTTAAATTCGTCCAACATTGAATGAATTTTATGACCGACTCAAAGGTGTACAATGCCAGTCGATCGTTTCCATAATTTGACATATGTGTCATAAAAATATTTATCTGAAAAAAATAATAAACAGTAAAGATTAGCTCCTTTTGTTTTAACTTATTTTTTTTGTAAATTCTAAATTGCTAGACCTACTAATTTTTATAGTATAAGATTCTAGTGTCTAATAATGAATAAAATGTACATTTTAATATTCAAAATATGCAGAAAATACTAAAGATTAAACGAGCTCGGTGTTAAAATTGACTACAATGATTGATTTACTCACTGGATTATATACGATCGTTTGGAAAAGTTCGCCACCTTGTATCGACTCGTCCAGCTTTTCCCTTCCGCCTGGATACCTCTCGATAAAAATTGTGTGAGTAAAAAGGCCGCAAGTTTGCCTCGGTAGAACCTTGAGTACATAAAAGGAACATTTTATATCAGACGACACGTGTTGAATTTATGAATGATATATCCAATAAAAAATCCAATAAAATGTTTAAAAAAATTAACGTACAAAATAATTTGAAAATAAAAATTTAACTTTTAATAAATGCTCATGCTCGATTTACATATTGTCTCTAATTAAATAATGTAACATTGTTGCGTTTCATATATCTATAAGTAAATAGGTACTTTAATTAATTATCGACGAAATTTTACGACCGATTACGCATTTAATATTTAAATGTAAATTAGTTTGCAGTCAAATCGAGGTTTTCACATATCAAATATAAACTAATATTCAATCACATTCATCCACCAGTCGACATAAATAATAATATTTCCAATATGTTTGCACACAAATCGCACGATACTTGCACAGCAATGTTTGTTTTAGAGTAATACTGATTATATGATTTCATACCATAATATTACGATGAATAAAGCCGCGTCTCAAACGAGCTGGCCTCAGGTGCGGATACTCTTCGGTGCTCGTAACTTTGATGTTCCATACCCGCTTCCACGCTTCGTAGAGGCCTTCGTGGACCGGGTAAACGCCGGAATGATGCGGACTTACGCTGTATCCGCTTCCGGTCGGTATACCGTGGTCCTTTGCGAATTGTTTGTTCAGTGCCATGTCCAATTGTAGATGAGTTACATTCTCGTATAGATGCGGTTGTTGATGATTCCACATGTGGGAAAACCACGTAAATCTGAAAACCCATGATATTTTAGATTTTTACAGATATTTTTATAGAACATAAAACATGTTTGTATGTTTTCCTTCGATAAGTTCAAAAATATTCTTTGTATTTTTATTCAATATCGACCACCGCAATTAATTACAATTAATTACGATAATTAATTAACATTATAAAGTTTTGTCACGGTGATTATAGTAGCATTATAATAAATATGACGTTATACAAAATGATAAGGACGCAAAACTGGAAATTTAATTATATTATGAATTTTATGTAAACTTTATAATCATAAAATTTGTTTAATGACGGTTTCAGTAATGACTGTTATAATTATACATCTTTAATGCTACGTAAATATGTATTTAATTTTACAATATAGAATAATAAATATAATTATCAATTAATTAATATCTTAATATATTTTTTTATTTATATTAATGTAATATTTACTGTATTTATATAATTAATATTAGGATTAATCGTAAAATTTTCGATTCTAATCAATTTTTAAATACCTGTCTACGTTCTCCAGAAGCATATCGTCCCCCAAATTCTCCTCCGCCGTCCCGTGATGAAAATACTTCCCGGAAAACCCCAAATTGAATTTGAACCCCGGCACCAGAGCTTGAATTCTCTGTTGAGTGGCCAGCAACGCCATTACGTCGTCTTTTTTCAGTCTAGTGCCTTTCTCCCCGACGAATATATCGTCGACGTCTACCAGGATCATACGATTTAAACTGAGACTCAATTGCCCGTGCGACAAATAAGACAATGAGTCCAGTAGCAGCAACTTGTGCAGCCAAAATCGCAATCCACCGCCGAAAAGAACCCTCTGAATTCCGTCGTACCTGCCATGATCCTATTAAACAAATAATAAGCATTGAAATTAAATATTTCTATCAGATCTAAAAAATCTATTTCTTAATTCATCCTTTTTCACGCATATGTACAATTAGTTCAGAATTACTTGCTTCTTGCTGTATAGGTAAACTACACTGATTATAAATTTGTTATTTAATAACACACACCGATATTCAATTACGTTCTAATTTCTGATATTTGTGTTGCTATACTGCTTTGTTCTTAGTTTCTGCTATTCACAAGGGTGGCGTGGATTTCCGGCACCCTTTATACATGAACGCACAGTCAGTCGACCTAATCATCGCGTGTTAACGAGCATCGTTATTTTTCTCTCAATGGACGAGCACAGCGGAGCATGGCGAGTAAGCGCGAACGTTCTACGTGTTAATTGCATTGTTCAACAGAAACTCTCCGGCAACTCCGCGTTAGCTTCGGCTATGAACCGAGCTTGTTAGTAGTAAACAACAATAATAATCTCATGGATAATCCCGTCATGCGAGAGGATGGGCGCAGGAATAGATACGCGGACTGCGCAGGTAGCCAGGTGATTAAATCAGACGCCAATCAGCCGTAGGCTTATTCGATTAATGAGTGACTGTAGGATCCACTTCATTTGCCGCCATTGGAACCGCCAATTTATTTCGTTTCGGGGGGTCGGTCCTCGCCGTCGAGCAGGTCGAATAGCGCCAACGACGCGACGGGGATGACGAGCGGAGATATTTTTCGACCGTCGCGAATGCGAAACGCGTCCCGAGTCGTGGGAATCGCCGCACAATGTCGAGGCGCTTTTTCAAACTTCGTCCTATTATTTACGACGGGCGAAATTCACCGGCCAATTAAACGAAGAATTCGGTCGACGGCGCATTTTTATCTCGTCGCATACAATTGCCCTGCTGCGGAGACCCAATTTACCGCGCACCGCAAGGCATTTTATTACGCGATTTTACTGTTTTATACGAGACGACTCAAAACTCGCATTCGCCGTTTAATGAGATTTCTTGATTAATCCGGGGCGGTCTGAGAAATAAAAATGTTAACGGCAAATTTCGAGCTATAAACTTCTAAAATTAGAACTTATTTGAATTTCTAAATGTTAAAAAAAACAAAAAAAAACGGAGAAATAATTTCACATATTTATCCTTGACAAGTTAATCCTTCATCCCTAAGTTTATTCTTATCAAGTTAAATTGATACAAAATAAAATATATAGCGCTGTCGCGATTGATACTGTAGAGATAGGAAAGTTAACAAAAAAACTTCTCGCATATCCTGCAAGCTTTGTTTCGCCGGTACAGAGACAAATGCGGTCGAATGCGAGATATGCATGCCGGGTGGGCGGAAAAACGACGCGTCGAGACAGCGCGCGCAAAACATCAACGATACAGTGTGCATTCGCCCTCGTCGTTATATTGGACGATATCTCGTGTGTCTGTCAGGTAAGTGCCGTTTCCTTTATATCATCTGCAATTCGGTCGTTCGGTGCCTCCTTCGGGCGTCTATGTGCCCACGTTTTCCGCGCTCCATCGTTCCGTGTCGTCCCGCATCCCTCTTTCTCCCCTTCATGTCCGTTACGTCCGGAATCTTGTAGTTGCGAATTCCTGCAGGAATGTAAACGCTGGCCGGGACGGCTTTACGAATTGTTTCAGTTTACCTCCGCCGACGGCGGATCCTTTCCACTCCGTCGTTTTCCTTTTTTCTTTCTCTCTCTCCCTCTTCCTCCTGCTTCCGTATCCCTTTCTCTTTCTTTTTCTCCTTCTCTCGTCCTCCTCTCTTGCTTTTCACCTTCGCCTCCGTGTACGTGGCCACGAGCCGTATCGCGGAAATTCCACATTTGTTTTCGTTTTCCGGCGCCGCCGCTGGCAGTCCGGGGCAGGCCAGGAAGAATCGTCAGGACGAGAGAAACGGCGGAAGGAAAAAATGTAGGAAGCTGAATGAGAAAGCTGCGTACATACGCGCACATTCGCGATTTTCATTCATGCAAAATAAATTAACGATGAAAGTATAGCGGAAAGAAATCGTTCTTTTCTGACAAGATATATTATAAAAGTTCCAATATTCATAAAAAAAAACGTATTAAATAAATTTAAGTCTTTGCTTAAAGTATTGCTTTAAAGTTAAAATAAGGTAAAGAATAAGATTTTCTTAAAGCAGTAGAAAACATGGAAAGCTACTTTTGGCATTAAGCAAATGGCACGAATGGAATTTAATAGTTACTGACTGGTGAGAGCGCATAAAACTTTATCACATCGGCTAAGGGTTAACGTGGAAGAGGGACGAGTCCTCTTATTGCGTCAGATCCGAGGGAGCCTGTAGGATACTTCTCTCCTCGACAGGAATACTCGTGCCGGTGTAAGCGCGGGATGAAATCACACTGTGCGTATTGTTCCAGACTCTCCTTTTGTTCCATCCCTTGCGAGCGGGGAGAATCTTACACAGCCACTCAGCCTCTTGTTTCTCACCGCGGTTGCCTTTCTTCTTTTCTTCCCTTCGTTACACGCAACCGCGAAGTGAAGTGGTGTATCAGGAAAATTCTGCGTTACTGGCCGGTCCCTTTTTTTCGGCGTCGCACTCGAGAATCGTGAGGGTAAGAAATAGCTCTTTAAAAGCGTCCAAGCTGAGGATTTTTCCTCTTCGCGTAAAAAAAAAGAAACAAGTATTTAAACAATATATCTTAGAGTCGCGTCGTAATGACTTTGTTTATGTTAATTACTCTTTGTACCGACATAGCAGAAGTCAGAAATCATCGTTAAAAATAATCGCGCTCGAATTGCGCGTCTCGTCGTCTTACTCGCGACATTTTCCTTCAAACAACGAAGATCAGGGACACTAAAATCGCGACGCTTCGCGATATCTGTAGTAATAAAACGAGCTCTCGGGAGAATCAGAGGTTTCCTGTACGAGAAGAAATTTTGTCCCACATGTCTGTCGAGTGCAATGTTGAGTGCAACTATTTCGCAAATTGTTCGTATCTTTCTTCCTTTTCCTACCACTTTCACGGAGTTCTAATTTCGCGTACCTTTTCAAAATAAAGAATTTCGTTCTCCGGAAATTCCACGTGCGCTTTTGTTTTTTTGATATTATCCTTGTGTCTGAGAAGGCAAGAGCCAGGCGCACAGAGCGGCGTGAGTTAATAAAGGATCCCCAAAGAATGAGCTCTCGGAGCTTTATGTAAGTATAATAGGGATCAGAGTTCAAAGGTGATGTTCAAAGATGATGTAACTTTTGACTTGATACCATATCACGGGGTCTACGACCTCGATGTTTATCGCGGTAGCATCTCACCCTTCGATTCAGCCGCGAAACTTCTATTAGCTTCTTGCAACTAAACAAACTTCCGACGCAGCAGTGCGTTAAGTTGAGTTGCGCGATCAACCAAATGATTTAAACGTTCTGTCGTTCGTCGAGCTGTAATGTGTATGTACGCGTAAGTGAGTGCATTAATTCCACAGTCGTCCGCGTTGTCCGAGAAGAGACACGTGACTGGAATGTTCAACAAGCAAAGTGAACAGCTCACCTGGATGACGGTGGCCAGGGGACTTTTGTTGGCCGGATAGTCGAGGCTGTCTCGGTGCGCCCAAGCGAGCGGCTCGTAGGTACTGTGATTGGCTTGAAAAATAGTCCAGTCACCGCCAGGAAGTGGTCCCCAGGCCGTTTCCCCCGATCTGGTTAATCGAAGAATGGGAGACGCCGCATTCAGCTGAGCATCCTGAAGGAAGAAAGAGCGACCTGATTCTATGCGGCCCGCACAAAAGTTTCGCTCATCATGCCAGATTCCCTCGTCTACAGAGGAGAAATCAAATTTTCGGGCATATCACGCGCGTTTTACTGCTTTGTTGAAAGAGAATTGTTCGGGCTAAAGTTGTGCGATAGTAAATCGTGATTTTACATTCAAAATGTCACACGCGATAATAATCTACATAAAATATGCAAGATCCTACAATGTAACAATGATATATACATTATGTGAAAAATATATTTCAAAATTCATAGAATATATATTCATGGACTGTAGAAGAAAATTAAATCAAAGCCCAAAAAAGTTCTTTGAAATATTCTAGACATTAAATTACATTTTTTTATACAGTTGAAATAGCTCATTTTGTGTGGTTTATGTATGAAATAAAATTAGCCTAAATATTCGCTTGAATACATCGAAAAGATTGATGAAATCGCATTGCGGTTATGCGTTATTTAAGGGAAAATGACATACTTTGGACTCGACGGCCGCACTTGATGAGCATGCACAACGTTAATTTCACGAACTCTCTGCTTTCTTTACGAGTAGCATTACTCACGAGATATGCCATGCGTTCACGGTACGATCGATGGTCCGAAGTTTTAAGACGGTTGAAACTTACTTCACGTTACGATAATTACGTTATGGTAATAAGAAGGTGTGAATAGCTGATATCGCAAAATTAAGCACTTAATTATTCAACATAAATAATTCAAGAATATATATTACAGCGTTGTACAAATCAGTACAAATGCATTTGGTGCTTTTTAGAGGAAAAAAAAGAGATATAATACCGATATAATATCGATTGTCTTATTATAGTAGGCAGCCCTAACGTTGTGGGGATTGTTTTTTATTACCATTTTACGAGGGTCTCTTTTTCTCGTTTCGATAAGTTTCTGCGATATAAACTTGATTGCAACCAGGAAGATTGCTAGACGTCTTCCACACTCGTGGCTTTTGCGTTTTATCTTTAGTATTGATTATAGAAGAAAAGATATCTTTTTATTACATGATAAAAGCATTGACATCTTTATATTACAATCCGTATATTTCACTCTCGATAATTAAATTAGGATGAAATTGTGACAGATTATTTTGGTCTGCAAACAGTATTAGTCATAAGTTTGGTAAAGTTAAATAAATTAAATAAAAAAAGTGCTTCGAAAACATGGTAAACTTCGTAAACTTCGTAAAAACGAGAAACTTAAAAATTTTCACTTTTGTTATTGAAATGATGTTTCTACCATCATGTTCACAAAACATAAAATAATTATTATAATTAGTGCTACGGAGTTTGAATATGTAAAGCTAACAACTCACTTTCAATCTTAGATTCGTATGTATAAAAAGTGGAAAGCCCTTCAGCTGAGCACCAACTAGACTCTCCTCTCCGGGTGGCGCAAAACCCACGATGCCAACTGAATATTCCCTGCAATATTTGTCCAGCAGCTCGCGATTCCATTTGTCCATTTGCAGGTACTTGTTTAGATTTTCGAAGATCAACACCCCATATCGACCCTTATCAAGATTCGTCAACACCGGTAAAGATTTGCCGGCCACCTCCACTTTGTACCTGAAAACATATCAATCATTTATTATAAGATCGCAATTAATATTCGGCGAAGTAAACTTTTCGAAAAATTAAAACCAAATTAATATTATTCAAAGTTAAAACATTTCGTTTTATTACGAAAACTATGAGTAGCTCATAATTTAGAGATATGAATTACTAGTTTTGTTTAAAACTCTATTAAATTTTAAACTTTATTAAATTATCCGAGCATTTTTAATACTTTCATAAATGGAATTTTGCAATAAATGCAATAAAAATAAAAAATAAAGGATTTTTGTAATTATTTTGATATTGAGCGATTTATATAGAATAATACAAACGTTGTAATACATGCACCATTTTTTAATTCTGTAAGCGATATATAGTACCATAGTAGTGCAATTTTTACAAATATGTGATACATTTTACGTTTATCACTTCCGGATACCATTAAAACTGCAGGGATATATATTCTGCTAATCGCCTCCGGGTCTTTTTACTTAAGAATTGAACGTAGAGGAATGTGGACTTTCGCAAACTTCGCTTAGGTACGCATTATTCTTACGGCGCTTATATATAAGGTAAGCACCGCACCCGGAGTTAACGTGTTCTTTAAAATGGAATAAATTTCCCTTCTCTCTCCTTCTTTCTTTCTTTCATCTTTCTCGTCGGTGTAGCCGATACTTTCGGCAGTCTTTTTCTCGCTTTTCCTGCCAGCGCAAATATTTCACTGCAAATATTTAGACGCAAATGCTACTCGCATGAGATACAGCCGTCAACATGCATTTTGACAATTTCAATCCGAATGGTGTATCAGATGTTTAAAGTGGGAGCCATAGTAAATAGAAGTAAAATGGAATATCGATAAAAGAAGTAGCCCAATGGGGACGTTCGGTATTGTTAAACGATAGAACTGAGATATTTTATATCGAAATTCCATTTATGTAACATTTCGAATGCTTCGCGAATAATAAAGCAATTACACGTATAATATGCGCGTTTTCATTGACGTATTCAGATTTTATTGTTTTTTTTTTTTATAAATTATATCCCAGCAACATCAAGCTGTCCTATTCTGCATTTTATCCTTATCAAAATTTTTATTTTTAGTATATCCTTCCAATCGCAAAAAAAAATCGACAGGCCATACTTCTGTCCCGCGTGCGATAAAATGATTTTATTGCGGAAATAAACTGGCGAAGCTTCTCTCGTCGATCGTACCGATGGATTTCTCTCATATCCTGTCGCGTCGTAAAGAGGTGGTGCAGATATCAAATTTATTGGAGATGCACTCCGATTTGAAAAAAAGAAGAGTACAAGAAATATGCTGCCTGCCAATGATAAGTCTGTGCGCGACTTTTTTTTAGCAGATTTGGGGAAATGGAAAACGTGTTTCGCTCGTAAAGTCGCGATGAAATAAATATTCAACGGACGAGCGTGAAGTTACGCTATCTGTTATTTGTAGCATATCGAGACTAAATCGCTGATATTTATTACTCCTAAATAAATCACTCCGTTCGTTTACTTTAGCTGTTAGTGACCATGTTCAAACTGGAGTGATTATGTCAAATCATCGACAATAGACGATAGCGCGCGGTAAACAGTAAATATTTGATGCATTAGTAAATGTTAGATACTGTTTCGATACTAGAGCTAGAACTATTCTGAATATATGAATATTTGCCAAATAGTCCCAAACCCTTTGCTTTCCACAATATGAACGTAACTTGGGCGAACAAGGAGAAAGAGAAAAGAACAATAGAACATTGTGCAATCGCTGTCTATAATATTGTTATTAAAAACTGGTAAACACCATTCGATCGATACGGCAAACAGTTTTGGATTTTACATGCAGCGTAGACATAGCTAGAAAACTAGGATTCGGTAGAGAGGAGAGAAAGAGAGAGAGAGAGAGAGAGAGAGGTCCATGCGGATCAATATCAGCAATAGTTGCTTCGTATTTGTGTTTAACATTCAGGACCGTTCTAATCATATAAACATTCAGCGCGTTGGTATATTGAAATGACAGACTGCTTCTATGCAAAATCTTTTCAATGCAAAATCATAATTCGACACACAACATGTTTGTGTACATGAAAATTCGTGGCATTTGTTAGTACAAAGTGATGAAAATAAATATTTCTTTAAACTTCTAATTACTACAATAGAGATACTAAAAATTGTATAAAAATTTCAATGTTATCAGAGAGCTGCGCTAGGAAGAGAAGACTAGGTTTGCACGTATCGAACATTGTAATATGTAATTGCAACATTTGGGTATGAAATCTCAGCGAAATTCACCAGACTCGCACATGTTTCGTCTAGTGTAGTTAACACTAGTTTAGCACTTATCCTATTAATGCGCAATTTACTTGTTTCGCGCAGCAATGAAGATAAATGATTTGAGCACAGTGCAACGACACTGTGGCGAGTCGACGCGTTCGCGAGAGTTAAGAGCCACGAATAATCCAATGTAATAGTTTTATAATTAGATGAGCATTATTGGGTTACGCGTTATAACTGACTTTATTTTCGCATTAACAGATTGTATCGGCGTGCCTCACGATTGTCCCCCGAGCGCGGGCCGGCAGGCTCGAGTACGCGCGCGCGGCAGAAAATTCGAGTTAACTAATGAATGCCGGATAATTTACCGACGTAATCGATTCGATAATTGGTAACCGCCCATTAACGGCGAGTTAGCCAATTTACGGGGCTAACGAACTGTCATAACGAACCACCTCGATGCGGCTCTTTTGTTCTTGGCTAACAATCGAGCTCGCCGCCCGAGCGCACCGCGCGCGCACACGTCACGCGAAGAATCCGAAAGCGAAATTCAGAAGTATCGATCGGCATACTGGGCCCAATCGCGAAACGATGAAAACCTGGCGCGCGTACGTGCCCGGGATGATACCGAAGGACTTCGAAATTTGTACACCGGCACACCGGCAGTTTCGTTAATTATATCACAAAGTTCGCGTCTTTAAAAGTTCACCTTATTTCCGCGACAGAAAACTTTCTTGTCTCGTCCCGGCGATGAAGATTGAATTAAGTTTAATTAATCCGGAGTGGAGAGATAAAATTGACGCGCTTGTCGTAGTGCCTCGATATTGCGCGGTATTAGTCGTGCTGAATGACGCTATTGATCCGAGACGAATCGCCGAGAGCTTTTATCGTTATCGGCGCTTTCGTTTTCTACGCACGTTGCCAAGCTTCGTTAATACGGTATATCTAGTACCCTATATTGGCTGGGATTAATGTTAATCGATAATACACACTACCTGCCTGAAACTCGTTGGCTTTTCGAACTTAATCTCTCACATAAACTCAAGATTATACAAATTTATTCCATTTTTTTTTGTCTTGTAAATCGTTGCGAAACTAATATAAATATAAATATTTCATATACTTGGATAACACAATATTCATTCTGCGATACCTGTAATAATACAGTAGCATGCAAGTGGAGTATAATTAATGCTCAAGCTAAATGATTAATGACTTATTATCTCAATCAAAGGCTACGCCTTTATGAAAAAGGATTCAGGCGGTAAATTGCATTGTAAGAAAAGAAATTAGTTTTCTGAAAATGAGATTGGCGTATACCTGGTTTAATTAACTGCTGTAATTTTATCTCAAATTCAAGTTATTAAAGTTTGGAAGCAAAGTGTATCAGTGTTCAAACAGATTCTTTAGTAAATCGTTTAATCAAGTAAAACGTTGTTCAGTATCCCAGCGAATATTATAATCAGGAAAGCACTTCCTTTACATCTTCCCTCCATTTTATTTACAGCTAACTTCTTGATAATTTTCAAGAATATTAAAGAATATAAGTATTTTATAAATTTATCACGATAATTCAAACTCATCGTCCGGGCAAGGAACTTACCGAGCGAATTTCACGTTAAAATACAGAAGTACAATTTGCGGAGATCCAGTCTGAAATGGATATTACAAACGTAAAGTGCCAAGCGATCCGAATCGTAACGGCGATCTCAGATACGTTTCCATTAAGGGAAATAATTTAATTAGGCGAGTTAAATGACAGAATCCGATAACAGCAAATGCGAATGCGACTTGGAAGGGCAATCGCGGATCGTTCGTGGCAGTTACCGTAAGTTACCCCTTCGCAGTCGAAATGCAGAAACGGTAAGAGACTTTTCGGGATTCGTATATATACCGATGCAACATCGGGAAGCAACGGTGGCCCCCGGAGGGAAATAATTTACCCCCGGGGCGTGTTCCAAAGAAGTCGTACTCTGCTCGTAAATTTCAGGTCGACGGGACGCGTGCCACCCCCGTCGCCGCCGTCTCCCAAACCAGTCGCCGCGTTTCCGCGAGTGAAAAACTCGCAAGAGCGGCGGCGGAGAGTTCCGGGAAAACAACTTCATAATTTTCGGGGAAAACCTTTCCGATTTGGCATACACGTGGATCAACGAGAGAGAGAGAGAGAAAAGTTTCAAACGACGACGGCCTCATTATTTTCAAGCCGTGATGCCGGCGAATCGCCTTTCTCGTGGGCTCGTTTCGTTTTATACCACCGGACGAAACTTTTTAAATTGCCCCTTGAATTAAATTATGCCGCATAATCAACGCAAATTGGGCCAAAGGAACAGACGACGTTGATGACATGACAGTAGCGCAACGTTTCGTAAAGAGAAGGATTGTATATAGTAGATTAATAACACGCAGATTCTAAGAATTTACAAGAATTACTAAGAATTTACAGAATGCCGGGGTATTTTACGACAAGATTAATCGATAGATTCAACGTCGGCGTTATTAAAACTGCACAAAAATATAACTTCTGGAACTTGCGTAAAAGTATTTTGATACTTAATCCGCTCTAAAAATCTTAACTTGTTTCTTAAATTATGTTGCTTCGCGAATCTCTATACAAACATATTTAAAGAAATTTTATTTAAACTTCTTTCATCTCACTTTCGTTATAAATACGCAATCTAATATTGACATCTCTTTATAAAAAAAAATTAGTTGGCAAATGTCGCACGTAGAAATGTGAT